TTAAGCATATAGGCCTATTCAGTGAAGCAACAGATAATGACAGGGGAGGCAGAGCCTTTGAACATTGACTGGATTTTCTCCTAATTATGTGCGCACGTCACCAGGCGTTTTTCTCGTCCTTTTACCGTGCACGACCAGCAAACACAGAGCGCGCGACTACTACCCCCCGTCGGACCTTCTCGACCGCGAAATATTGTCTGACATGAAACCGGTCCGTGAGGTAAGAAAGGTCCGGGACCACTGGGCTGATCCACAACGTGTGTTTACACACCTCCTGGATCCTGATTGGTCGCTGCTGCAGCTGCAAGGCACTGATTGGATGCTCACTGACCGTAATACAGCGCAGATGAACATGATTCAGACTACGCCGTTTATATGTTCAACAATAGGAAATGTAGTCTGAGCTGTTTAAAAATTACACCAAGTTTAATTCGGATTATTCCAACGGAATTATACAAGGCGCAGGGAACTTAGAGGTGCGTAAACGCCACTCATAGGTGCGTAAACGCTATTTATAGGCGCGTAAACGCTATTTCCAAAATTCCAGAGGTGCGTAAACGGCGTTTACGTGCGTTTACCCTCCACTACAGCCCTGGTTAGGACACGACAAGGCAGGGCAGGAGAAACGAGACAGCAGGTACGTTGGGTGCATAGTCAATACTCTGGCAGAGAACAAGGGGAAGAGGCAGGCTAGAGATGGAGGGTCTAATTGCAGAAGGTAGGAACAGGTGAGGGGAAGAGAGGACGACGAGATGAGAAGCAGCTGGGAATGAATGAGCAGGTCTAAGTGTCTCTCCCTTTGTCTCTGTCTCTCTCTGCCTCTTTGCTGCGCTTGTACCCTGAGCCGCTCTGCAGGGCGAGACTCGAACACGACACAAGTCCTCATGTCGCCACCACGCCCCCCCAGGGGTCGCGACCCCCAGTTTGGGACCCACTGGCTATAAACATCATGACAAAGTCACGCAACTTGGAAACTGAATTTTGCTCTTTGAATAGATACAAGATCCAAATACTGGGACCGATCTAGCAAACCAACAGAATATTACAGCAGGTACCGTGATTGTTACGCAGCGTTTATTGTGCTCTGGGGCCTGGTCACATGCCCAATAACATGTTACCCCATTTTACAATACGGGTAGATTAAATCCAGGATTCTAATTGGTCGAGAGTGCGCTCTCAAAGTAACAGTTGGATTTTGCCCGACTGTCAGTTGTCATTTCAGCTCGGTGACGATCGCCGAAAAAAACACCGGAAACACCCCAAATGAGCAGTTTCGGGCAACGCGACCTTCCAACAGTTCCATTGGCAGTCACCATGATTGACAGACGAGGTGGTGTGTTTGGGCTCATGAGCTGCTCCTTTACTTCGCCACTCTCTTCTCTTCAAATTCATCCATCCAAAGGATCTTGATTATAAAGATTATGCAAAGTGGCGCCAGGATGTCCAACTATGTGTTGCCTCAACGGTACACGAGCAGTAGTAAGTGGTAGTTAGTTAGTGTGTTAGTGGAGGTAGAGTGTGAAGAGGTGTGTCTTTAGTCTTTAAGATGTGAAGGCTCTCTGTGGTCCTGATGTCTTCAGAGACCTCCTTCCACCATTTAGGAGCAGGACAGCAAAGAGTGGAGATCTAGTCGAGTGTTTTGCTCTCAGTGAGGAGGAACAAGCAGTTTATCACATGCAGAGCGGAGAGTGCGGGTCGGGGTGTCGGGTTGGACCAGGTCCTGGATGGAAGCTGGACCCCATCCATTCACAGCACGGTACGTGAGCACCAGTGTTTAGAACTGGATGAGCCACCGGTACCAGTCAAGAGAGCGGAGGAGTGGAGGAGTGCCCAACTGTGTGTCAACTGCCATCGAGTCCACTTCCTCCATTTACGGTCCATCTGTGGTCCTGTCGGCCGTAGCCTTTGCGTCAGTGTTTCCATGATATGTATTTCCCCCACTGTGTCCACCCAATGGGTCCAAGTGGGTAGATCTTCCATCCCCCACGTCCTTGTGATGGCCTTTTTGCCTGCAACCATGAGTATCTTGAATAGATGGAATAGATACGCATAGATAATCTCTGTGTACATACACAGATACATCAGCTCGTGATTCATATGAAATCCGTATCCCAGAATCTCTTGCGTTATCTTATGGACCATTGCCCAAAACCCTGTTATTTTGTGACAATTCCAGAATATATGTGCATGGTTGGCCTCAGGTGACCCACAGTTCCTCCAACATGACTCACCGACAGGTTGTTGTCTTATGTTTTTCCCAAATCTTGTCCCATTCATCTTCAGATATTTTCATGTCAAATTCTCTTTCCTTTTTCCTATTTTCCTATTTTCTTTCCTTTTTCCTAAAGCCCCCCATTTCAATACATTTGTGTCGTTCTCCGCTTTACTATGTCGAAGTAATTTTTTAACCATAATTCTCTAGGTCAATTTTGCGATTGAATCCATTTGATTTCTAACCTTCTTAAATGTTTCCCTGTATAATACTCTGTACCGGACACATTCTAAACGATTTTTCCATTTCTTTCCATTCCAAGTTTACACCTACAATGTCCATGTCTCAGCTGGGCCGTGTGGTCTTTCAAGTTGGGCAGACTCAGGCCCCCCTCTCCCTCTTTAGCTGGAGGGTTCTGAATCTCTCTCTTGCCCCCCATATGAATCTGGATATCATCCTGTCCCATGATACAAATTGTGTTTGAGGTATCTTTATTATAATGCTTGGAACATGTATAAAGTCTGGGTGATACATTCGTTCTTATTAATTCAGGCAACGATTCACTGGGCCGTTCAAGGAATGCAATGACGTCATCTGTCCGACCGTATGTTCTACTCCACCCACTAACTCGTCTTTTTCGTGTATGGCTTCAGCCAGTGGTTCAATAAAACATGGGAACAGGGATGGTGACAAACGGCATCCCTGTCTGGTTAGATAGGCTTCCGTTTATTTTGATTCTAGCTGTAGGTCGTTGATATAGAGTTTGAATAATCTGTATTGATTTATTGTTGAATCCAAACTTCTCCAACACTGTGAATAGGAAAGTCCAATTCACCCTGTCAAACGCCTTTCGGCATCTACGCCAACCAGAATTGAGTCTCTTTTCTGTTTGTGTCCCGGGGTGACAGCCCAAACAAAGGTAGGACTCAACAGCAGGATTCAGTGGATGAAAAAATAATTTTATTTCAGCAGAAGTGGGATTTCCATAAGCAGCGCTGAACCGTGGCCGGGGGAACGCTGGAGAAAACAGGTAAGCACAAGGGGCCGGGCGGCAGGAGCAATGTGATCTGGTGGAAACCACACTGGATGGAGAGGTAGCGACTTGACCGGCTGGAGGGAGTTTTCCGGAGTTGTGGCGGGTGAGATGAGAAAGGAAGCATTCAGACTCGGGAGGAACAAGGCTCGGACGAGGCTGGAACAAGGAGACGAGGTAAGTGCACAAAAACTCTTTCTTTGTTAATCAAAACTCTGGTGAGCGCTGCCAAGTTACCACACGGAGGGCAAAACGATCTGCTGAAGACTGGTGCTCCTGCTGCTCCTTAAGAAGGGTTCCTGACAATGGTAGATGCACAACAGGTGTGACAGCAGGCAGCCACCAGACTCCGCCGAGGTAACCGTGGAAACCTGCTTGCCCAGCCTGAAACTAGAAAACACACCAGATCAGTCAGATCCTGACAGTTTGTTTGCCTGGTCTATAAGGCGCAGTGTCCTCCTAATGTTATCGTGCGTCTGTCGCCCGCTCACAAATCCCGTTTGGTCCTCGTCGATCAAATCCCGTGTAAGGGCGTGTAGTCGTGTAGCAATAATAGATGTATATAACCTTTTAGTAACGATATTGGACGATTATTTCTGCATAATTCCCTATCTTTCCCCGGTTTAGGTATTTATTGCCTCCACTTCCTCCTCTACTGAAATATCCCTTGTTAGGACATCGTTCTGTGTCTGTCCTTTCTTTGGTAGGTCCAGTGTGTTTGCACAAAGAGAGGAGTCTTGTTTAGACTCTAGCTGTGTATATAACTCCTCATAATCTCTCTGGAATGTTCTTTCTATATCCTCTGGCTCTGTTATCAATTGGTTCGTACGGGGGTCCCTAATTTTATGGATTTGACTAGCCGCGAGTTGCCTATGGGTCAGTCTCGCCAATAGTTTAGTGGCTCTCGGGCCGATCTCATAATAACTTCCTCCTCTGTTAGATGTTTATCTATCTCTAATTTTACGAGTTTAATTTTCTTTTGTGTGTCCAAGTCAGCTGAATTCTGGTAGTCTCTTTCCAATCCTGTTTTTGTATATTTTCGTATACGTTATTTCATGTTTTTTTGCATTGGTTGATTCTGAAATTAATCTGCCTCTCATAACTGCCTTCAAGGTGTCCCAAACCATCGTTGGCTCCACCATCTCATTGTCGTTTTCCGTAACAGTTTTATATTCCCAATTTGATTTTGTCCTTTCTTTGTTTATTATTCAGTAGACCCACATTCAATTTCCAATTAGTTATTCATATCTCTTTAGCCTGTCATGTTCTACTTTGTTGAGGTGAGTCTCCTGCAGATATATAATTTGGGCTCTATCCTTCTTCAGTTTTTACCTTGTTCCTCTTCTTGCACCCAATTGAATGCATCTTCTTGCATTCAATCAATTAACATTGGATGGGTATGACACCAGTCATACCCATCTATTCCTAGATCAATAACCCTATACAAGCAAAGTTATAGAGGCTTATTGACCAAAGTCAAACCCATTCCGTAGGGTTTCCCTCCGACTAGTTATGTCCAACTCCATCATTTTGGTCTCTATCAATCGGCTTAAGTTGTGTTGGATTTAGTAGAGGTCCGTTAACATACCTTGGAGCCCGTCAGACTGGGATCCATAAAACATCCATTTGGGTCCACGAGCCAGATTCAGTTCATTCTTTGAAAGCCCCTCAGCTTCTGTCTGGCAGCAGCCGCTGACGTCCTCCCGTCTTTGAGTCGTCTGTTGCCATTCTGCCCGGTCTCCTATCTTCTCCCTCCCTGTGGTCGCGGTGCCTTCTCCCACCTCGTACCCTCTCCATGTCTCTCACCATGTCCTCTGCGCTGTCGTAGGTCTTGACTCTAGAGGGGTCTGCAAGCGGATCTGTTCTCCCTTCAGTATTTTCTTTATGGCCCCGTACGCCTTTCTCTTCTGGACCACTTCAGTTGCGTAGTCATGGTCGAAAAAAATCCTCTTCTCTCCCACGTGAATTTTCCTCTTCCATGCAACACTGGGCACCATTTACTTGGTCTCGAATTTTAGGAAGTTCACTACCATTGCTCTTGAGGGTGCGTTCGGAGGCCCGCGCCCTGTATCTGGAGCTGGATGTCGCTAGGCCAGGGGTCTCAAACGCAAATCAGCTGCGGGCCAGATGCAGCCCACTTCAACCGAACGCGGGCCAGACTAGCGTCCGAACGGCATGGTCGACAATAACACAACTTAACACTCACTTTCAAAAGCAGTCATTGAACCCCACCCTGGGGGATCGGTCCGAATGAGACTACAACACTAGTCCTCCTTTAACTCAGCGGGGGAGACCTAAGGTCATGTGACCGTGGAATTCCTTTATAGCCAAACGTGAAGTTACGTGAATCGAAGCTGCGTAGTAATGGACGGAGACGCTCGTCGGTGACGTCAGATGCTTCATGTGTTGTTAGTGTAAGTCGTAAAGGAAAACTTTATTAAACGAGCGATGCTAACGGTTAGTCACATGATCACCTGCGCGAAAGAGGCAGGAAACTGAATTTCACCCTCCTGCTCTCTGCACCTCGGCCGACACACACGACCCGCCCCCCATGTCAGTCACATGCATGCCACGTTCACTGGACAAGCACACAGTAGGAAACCAGAACATCATAACATGTCCCACACAGCAGCTGACAGTGGGGTTACAGTATAAAACTTGCGGGCCACACTAACATTACACTTTCATATTAAGGATGGGGCCACAAAATATCGTCCCGAGGGCCGCAATTGGCCCGCGGGCCGCGAGTTTGAGACCCCTGCGCTAGGCACTTCGAGTTTGGTGGTTAGGAAGCAGCTGCAGGTACTTTTCATTTTTTGGGGAGTTTTTCCTGTGCCGATGGTGGGTTTCGGGGCAGAGGATGTTGTATGTGTACAGACTGTAAAGCCCTCTGAGGCAAATTTCTAATTTGCGATTATGGGCTATACAAAATAAAATGACTTGACTTGCCTATCGAATTCTCCTGCGTGCCCTCCGGTATGCCAAAGATGCAAATGTTGTTCCTCCTCGACCTCCCCTCGAGGTCCGTCATTTTCTCCTGCAACCTTTTGGGTGTGGGCCGCCATAGTTAGCATCTTAGCTTCTGTCTGCCATTCTTCCAGTTCAGCTATGCGTGTTTGCGTGTCCTCCATGTGGTCATGCTGTGTTTTCATGTCGGCATTAATCCTTGCCGAGAGAGTTTCTCTCCGGATCCTGTCAAATTCTTCCTTCACCTCTCTCCTCACATCGCTTATCCCATTTGGCTTCTTTAACCTAATTTTTCACCTCATCCAGTTGTTTGCATTTGGGTGCTAGCAAGTCTACCAGTTGCTTTAGGCTAGCTGGCTCCGCACCGGACCCGTTCTTCTCACCATTGAAATTCCTTTTCTATCATCACTGACTTGATTTTCTTCATATATCTGACCTCTTTATTAGTTCCCTTCTATATTATATTGAATCTATTTGTTTAAATTATGATTGAGGGTTTATCACCGCCGAGAGCTCTAAGTTACGTGACTGCTCACTGGCCATCTTCCCCCTCCATGATTTTAATGGTACAAACCTAAAATGAGTTAGAGACCTCTGCACTATACACTCTATAGCAGCACTCAACAATTTACAGCCCATCTCTGAGTTTAGGAGGTCTGTTCATCTCTCACCTGCAGTTGTCTTTTTTTTTGCTCCTGCTGCTGCAGATATCAGATTTGTCAGAAGTTGCTGCATCAGTAGTCTGCAGTTCTTACCTCCATCATCAGTCCCCCTACTCCCCTCCGTCATGCACTCTCTGGCTCTACCCAGCAATTCCTGAGTCGTAAGCGCAACCATCATGCAACCTGGTGTATTCTAAACACCCCTGAGCTGCCCCTTTTCTTGTAATTTCTACTCTGTCACTGACTGAGGAAACTACAAATGATGCAAAGTATAAATTAATGAATCCTACAAAAATGTTAAATCAGATTGCCAACTGAAATCAGCAACGCACGGTAAACTACTGGACCTGAAAGGGAGACAGTCAATCAAAACGCTGAGTCAAAATAATAAATCAAAACGCTGATAGCGTCAAAATAACTTTTGACTCAGCGTTTTGGAGGTAAGAACTGCAGACTACTGATGCAGCAACTGATGCAGCAACTTCTGACAAATCTGTCAATCAATCAATCTTGAACTGGTCCAAGAAAATCAAACTAGTTATGTCTTGAGTTAATTAAAAAATAAAAATCCGGAAACCGGAGATTAAACACTGGAGAGAGAAGGAAACCAAAAACCCAAATTATCTGAATGTAGAATTAAAATGAAAATCAATTCAAAAGCCAATTTAAGAAAGTAAAAGTCTAAGCCACCTGCAATGATAATCGATCAGGAATTAAATCGTCTTATGTTTAAACGTTGAATTCCATTCAAACTTTAATTAGCAGTGATGATAGTATTTAATTTAAACTACCAGTTCTAAACAACATTCTAACAATCAACATTTATTTAAAAATGGTGACATTTCCGTTATTGCAGAAAATGCAGTTTTATCCTTTTTTTCTTTTCAGGTGGTTCAGACCTTTACAGGGCTCATACATTTTGACTTTTCCATGACTTCAAACCAAATTTCCATGACCAGAAACTTTGTGAAATCTCTGTGTATACAGGAAAAAGTGAGAAAATGTATTTAAACTAACAATGAGAATTCCAAGGCATATTTCCCCACCATTCAATTAGGCCCTAAGAAAGTATTTTTACGTTTACGATTATCGACTATGGATGAGTATCGTTTGGGTTTTTCCTGATACCAGGGGGGTATTCCAGAAAGCGGGTTATGTGAAAACTCAGAGTAAGTTAACCCTGAGATCAGGGAAACTGAGTTATCCGTTCCAGATAGAGGTAACTAAAACTCTGAGTCAATCACCATGGTAACAGACTGAGTCAATCACCTTGGTAACAGACTGAGTCAATCACCATGGTAACAGACTCTGTGAACATGATCTGCTCGCTGTCAGGTTTACTATAAGAAACCTTTCTACCGTCTCCTCCCACATGAAGATGCTGGTAGACATGGATTGTCCGTTCCTACCGAATCCAATTGACATCGAAGCCGTTGTGATTCGAAATGCTTTACGTCGCGAGAGAGTCTTCCGACCCAGATTAGACGTTTTATCATTTCCAGAGGAATTTCTGTTAGAACGCTACAGCTT